CTCAACCTCCACCGACACACACACACACACCCTCAGCTCAACCTCCACCAACACACACACACACACCCTCAGCTCAACCTCCACCGACACACACAGACCCTCAGCTCAACCTCCACCAACACACGCACACCCTCAGCTCAACTGTGGGGCAGGTGGGAACTAAGTGTGAGGACTGCCCTGTCTGTGAGAGGTGAAATAGGGTGTCCTAGATGGTGCTATTTCTTGGACAAATTCAGAGAAAAAAGTTTGAAAACTGGGTGTCACTCCTAGATAGAGTACTTGATAAGCATGTGCAAGGCCCTTGCTTCAGTCTCTGTAAGATTAGATAGATAGATAGATAGATAGATAGATAGATAGATAGATAGATAGATAGATTGATAGATGATAGATAGATAGATAGATAGATAGATAGATAGATAGATAGATAGATAGATAGATAATGAGTGGATTCATGCTGGTATAGGTGGATGGACAGATAGATGAATGAATGCATGTGTGAATTGATGGTGATAAGTAGACAGACAGATGGACAGATAGCAGTTCTCCAGTAAATAAATTATGGATTTACTTCCTGTAAGAGAGTCACAGTGTACCTTGGCACATCAGAGGTTCTAGTGTGGTGTACACACACACAGAGACACACACACACACACACACACACACACACAGACTTCTGATAACACTGCCACCTCCATTCTGTTTCTCAACTAACAGCTGCCCACACTCAGGGCAGCAGTGTTGCTGGGAAAGGGTCTCCTTGCAGTTTTCAAGGCAGTGGCCTCTCTGAGCATATACTGGGTACCAGGAGTTGCTATAGGCCTAGGACACAGTTGGGATAAAGGTGAGCAGAGATTGTAAGGGACACAGCCCGCATGGGGGAGATGTCTCCAATTCCCTGGGCCCACCTGATGTTCTTCAGAAAGTACAGGAGGATCAGTGCTGGCAGATCAGCTCATCCCTCTGGTGGACAAAGCTGACTCATCTTGGCTCCTTGTATTGTTATCAGGGCAGAGAACAGCCATATCCACCCCCACTGTCAACCAAAATCTGTAGCTTCTCTGTTCAACAAGGACTCGGAGGGACAGTGACAGAATACTGCTCTTATGTAACCCAAATTAATTCTTTGTGACTGGGACCCTTAGCATACCTTAGAACCAAACAGTTGTGGTTGATTTTTAAAGCACAGCTGTGAATCTCCAGGGCTGTGCTTCTCCCAGAAGGCCCCTGGAGGAGGGCTCAGGGCTGACACATGCTGGCCTAAGAGGGTGGGGAGGGAAGGCATTTTCTTGATCTGCCGCTAATCCTTGCTTGTCTCATACCCAAATCTCGGATTTTTCACTTCCCGCCTCAAGTATCCCGGGTATGTGGTTTGGCCACAATTAAAACAGTCTGTGGGTCGCTTCCCTTTCCAGAAAGTTCTTCCCTTAAGCAGCTGTAGATTACATGCTCGGGTTCTGGCTGCTGGAGGAAGCCTATGGATTTGGTTTTGTTAGCAAAAGCTGTCTGGGACTCCTGAAGTCATGCTTTGTTTTACAGATTGAAGCGAGTGGGTAGAAATAGCAGGGTTTCATTTATGGGGGTCTGATGCCTGCACTCTAGCCTCAGAAACCTCATGTTCTCTCTCCCGAGAGCCCCAGGATAGAGGAGGGTCTGCCAGGGTCTCTGAAGTCAGTTCTCGCACCACCTGCTCTGTGGGTGTGGGCAGACCCCACCCCCACCCCACCCCTCGCCCCCTCAATTTACACTCCTGAAAAATGAAATTAATTCTGTAAGGGAAATTTTTGTGAGACACGGTAAAAAATTACAGGTGAAAGGAAAATGTGGGGTATCTGGTCACAGCCTCACTCTCTCTGATAAGCACCAACCATGTTTCCTTTTGGTTTTGGAGACAGGGTCTCACTGTGTTACAGAGATTGGCCTCAAACTGGTGGGCTCAAGAGATCCTCCTAGCCGGGACTACAGCGTATATCACTGTACTAGCTCCCAATTACTACTGTGTCTCCCTCTCCCTCTCGATTCTGTTATCCCTGGCTGCCCCCCGGGCATTTCCAATGCATAATGCAGTTCTTACGGTCAGCCACCATCAAAAATGTCTATAGCAAGGGTATGTATGGGGGTTTAAAGCCACAGAGCACTTCTGGAGAGATACAGATGTCAGCCCTCCCTGCCAGCAAAGGGCTCAGGGACAGCCGGGAAGTCCAGGTGACCCCTAAATGTGCATGCTGCCCTCCAGTGGCAGCAGCACAGAGTTGGTTCCAAGGTACCCATTGGCCTCTCTGCTCCACCAGACACATTTCTCCATGTTGGGAGCTTCTGTCTCAGGACCTCTACCTGTGGCAGCCAGGACCCGAACAAGAATGTGAGTGGGATACACAGGAAACACGGGCTTTCTGTGCCCAGTAACAGCTGGGGAATTATCTTTTAAATTCATGTATGTATTTTACATCCCAGCCACAGCCTCTGCCCCATCCTTTCCCCTCCCAGTCCCTCTCCCCCATTCCTTCCCTCCCGCCCCCAAGCTCTCCTCTTCCATCTTCATCCAGGACAGGGCAGGTCTCCTGTGAGTATCCATTTAAAAAAACACGGCTTGTCAAGTTGCAGGAAGACTAAGCACCTCCCCCTGTATAAAGGCTGTGCAAGGCAACCCAGTAGGAGGAGTAGAGTCCCGAAAGCCAATAAGAGTCAGAGACAGCCCCTGTTCAGCTGGCGTGGGGGGGGGGGGGCAGGTGGAAGCTCTGGGTCCTTTGACTGCTGTTCAGTTCATAAGCAGTGAGGAGCCATTGGATCTAGAAACCTATTGGTGTTCCAAAGAACCTGGGTCAACCCTTGGGCCTGGAACACTCTGTTTAGCTAAGCTGAGAGCCATTGGAGTATTGACCCCATTAAAAGGCTCCTTATGCCTGCATTTAACCTTTTGTTTCCAAGGTAATTTCCATATTGTTTCGTTTCATTTAGGGTCTCATTTAGTCCAAGCTGGACTCAAACTTGAGCTAGGAAAACACTGGGTGCCTGCCTGAACCTTCTGCCTCAACCTCCCAAGTGCTGGGGTCACATGCATGTACCGTCACACCCCTTTCTGGGGTACCGTGATGAAATCTGGGGCTTTGCAAATGCTAGGCAGGCATTCAGCCAGCTTAGTGACCCCCTCAACTCCCTTGGTTTTGATTCCTTTTTGAGACTGGATCCCAAGAAGCGCAGGCTAGTCTCACACTAGCTATCTAGCTGAGGATGACCCTGAATTTCTGATCCTCCTGCCTCTGCCTCCCAAATGCTGAGATTACATGTGTGGATCACCAGTCCCTATGTGTGAGGTACTGGGGATGGATCCCAGTGACTTACACATGGTAGACAAGCAGTGCACTCCTGAGCTCTATCAATACCCAGCCCTCCACAGTAGGGGTTCAAAGTTTTCAGTTTGGGTTGGTGTTGGTTAGGGTGTTTTCATTTGGCATCAGTGGTACTGACCCCTCCCTATTCAGGTAAACTCCACAACATTTCAGTGTCCAGGAGTCTGCAGTGCCCCTGCGTAGATAACTTGGGTGGGGATCTGAAAGTTCAGTTCTGACCCCGAGTTACAGCAGCTTCCTCTGACCTTGCTCCATGCAGCCACTGCCTGAAATAATGACAAGGACCTGCCTGACCCTCACTTGGTGAGCGATGGCCAAAGCCCCTTCAGGCTGTAGGAACCGAGTGCCAGCAGGAGCCACGCACGGCTAACAAGCTTCCTGTGTGATAAAAATGGCCCCAGCTTGGTGCGTGTGTCTGGGCGTGGGGGGGGGGATATTAATGACAACCCCTTTTCCTCTAATTTCCTTTGGTTATGTGAGGATTTCTAAAAACTGTTCCCAAGGACAGAGAGAATTTTTAAGAAAAAAACAATTTCTCTGAAAACATCCAGGCTTCCCCAGCAGGATTGGAAAACCTAAAGGCTTTCTGGCTGTCAGCCCCGACTAGAAACAACCAGTCCAAAGTCGAGATTCCTGCCACGGGCATCATGGGACTCAGAAAAACAAAGGAAAGAGGGGCCATGGGGTGCTGGCTGTGGCTGGGGGACCCTGCAGAGGTCTCCATGCTGGGCCTGCATGCTCATCCCTCAGTCTTCAGACGGAGTGCTGAGGACAGTAGCCCACAGGGGTCAAACACTGGCAGAACAGGGCTCATCTCCCGAAGAGATGCTGGGGACTCCGAGAGGCCACCGTCCTAGGCCTCGGTGGGTTTTACTGCTGCTGCCTCTCGGAAAGCCTATGGCCGTGCATGGGGACGGTGATTCTTTATCTGAAGACGAGCAAGAGCTGGGCCCTCACCAATAAAACAGCCTGGGCACTGGGGCCCTGCGTGGGTTCTTCAACCTCCAGCTAGAAGGGTGTGGGTGAGAGGGTTTCCAAAATTAGTGGCTTAGTCCTGGTGACACATTTGTATCATCTGCTGAACTCTGAAAAACAACAGATGACTGAGCTCCACCCCAAACTAGTTGAATTTGAATTTCCAAGGGCGGGGCTGATGCCTCCTTCATGTTTCACCCCCAAGCTTCTCAGGTGATTTTAACTTTCCACTCAGGTTTGAAACCAGCCTCCGATTGACCAATTCTTAGAAATAACATCAGATGGAGAGAGATGGGGGGATATTTTATTTGGAGTTTTAAAAACGGAGTGGGAGCAGGGCTAGGAGGATGGCTTATTACTTAAAATGCTTGCCACACAACTCAAGGACTGGAGTTTGGGTTTCTAGAACCTACACAAAGGCTGGGTAGGTATAGTGGCCTAGCTGTAATTTCAACCTCAGATGGTGGAGATGGGAACCCTAAGCAAGCTAGCTAGTGAAATTAGGCTCATCAGCAAGCTCCGGGTTTGATTGAGAGACCCTGCCTCAAAAAATAAGGTGGAAGAGAGATCAAGGATGGTTGCCAACATCAGCCATAGGCTCCACGTGCATGCACGTATCTGTATTCACACACATGTGTGCCAGACACACACACACACACACACACACACACACACACACACACACACACACACACCAAATGGAAAAAAGAAAAAAAATGTACCCAGGCAGCTACCCATTAATACTGTGTGCAGACATTGGAGAATGTTTGTTATGCTTAGTTGGAACGTCACAAGCAATGCCTTCTGAATGACGCTCTTGCTCTGGCTGGAACTCACCATCTCTGTTTCATACAAGGGGCAAGAGTAGGGCCCAGTGCATGGTTAGCCCCATCCGTTCAGCCTTGTTCAGCTTTTGTCTTGCTGTGCTGTGGATGGATCCCGGGATTCTAGGCTAGGCTCCACATGCTAGGCTAGGCAGAGGCACTACCACTGAGCCAGACCTCAGCCACACCAGACCCCAGTCCCTTTTAGAATGGAGTCTGAGCTGAGCTCACACAAGGCAGCATCTCTCAGCCAAGACCTCAGCTCTATGCTGACAAGCCTCGCTAGGAAGAAATCTAGGAGGCCAGTTGCAGCTTTTCTAGAAAGCTCCAAACCAATGTCTGTGGAGCACCAGCCGTATGAATGTGTAGCCGCTTCAATTCAAACCAGTGTAATAGCTCTTTGGAGAAGATATATAGTGCTTTTTGCTCGATGATGACCACCACGTATCTCTCCAGCCTAAATTCTCAGTGACTCCTAGTGGTCACAGCATGTCCAGACCTCCCCTCGTGCCCCACACAGCCACTACACCCCACGCACACCTTGCTCAGACTTGCTGTTGTAAGCCCCTGGCTTCCTTCTCACTGAAGCTGATGACGTGTTGTGCTCATGACCACTGCCAGTCAAGCCCATCAGGCATGGCGAGATCAGCATCTCCTATCTGTGGTCCATGAGAATGCAGCCTGGGCCGAGAGGTGGTGGTGCACATCCTTAATCCCAGCATTTGGGAGGCAGAGGCAGAGGCAGGTGGATCTCAGAGTTCGAGGCCAGCCTGGGCTACAGGGTGAGTTTCAGGACAGCCAAGGCTACATAGAGAAACTCTAAAAACAAAACAAAAAACAAAAAGGAGGAGGAGGAGGAAAGAGAAAGCAAGAATACGGTGTTCATTGGCTGCTCTTGCCTGGAAATGACCTGCAAGGGTGGAAGCCCGCTGTAAGAATGCTCAGACCATTTCCGTCCAGGACTGTGATGCTCCTAAGAGCTCTTGTTCCAAGTGGGAGGTGTGCTTGACAAGGTTCTAAGTTAGTGCTGGGCAGAAGATGAAGCCCGCAAACACAGGGCATCTTGGTGGTCCTGTGAGTGAGGCTTTCTATACAGTGCCAGGTCACCAGACGACAGGCCCCAGGAGCTGCCTTTATTACTGGTGCTGAGTCCTGTATGCAAACTAGCAAACTCTTTACTTTGTGTTTGTCTGTGTCTGAGAGAGACAGGGTCTCACTATGTAGCTCTGGCTGTCCTAGAACTCACTATGTAGACCAGGCTACAGGCTGGCCTTGAACTCACAGAGATCTTCCTACTTCTGCCTCTCCAGTGATGGGATTAAGGGCATGGGACACCATGCTTAGCTACCTATGTTTCTCTTTAAGACAATTTATAATGAAATTCCCTTTTTAATTCAGCCTCCCCTCAGCCAGGTATTTATCATCTGTTAGATTCTAGTTTGGATTTGCAGCAGACCTTTGTTTCATTTCTAATACGTATGAAAATATACATCAAATCAGTAGAATGTTTTTTTTGGGGGGGTTTTTGGATTGTTTTGGTTTGATTTGGTTTTTCAAGACAGGGTTTCTCTGTTGTAGCCCTGGCTGTCCTGGAACTCACTCTGTTTACCAGGCTGGCCTTGAACTCACAGAGATCCACCTGCCTCTGCCTCCTAAGTGCTGGGGTTAAAGGCGTGTGCCACCACCGCCCAGCTAAGTAGAATGTTTCTTAAAAACCCCATCGGTATAATTCTATCTAAAAGTTTCCTGGGAGTCATTAGAAGTCCAAACACCACAGTTGGAAGAAAAGACACACACACACACACACACACACACACACACACACACACACACACACACACACCACACACAACACAGAAAAGCACGGTCGCTTGTCAGTCCTTAAATGCCTTTAGCCTAGAGTGTGGCCCCCGTTTTCGGCCGGGGACACTGAGCTCCAGACGGTTGAGGAAGTCGTCATAGTGCCATGCATGGGAAGCGCAGAGGGCCCTGGGGTTGCGGCTCAGGTGGCTGACGACTCGCTTTGCGTGCATCAAGCCCTGGACGCTCTTCCTTCCACAGAGCACTCGTGAGGTAGAGATGGGGCCATCAGGAGGTCAAGGTAACCCTCGGTTAGATACCGAGTTTGAGGCTAGACTGGAAGAGGAGAAGCCTGGTCCAGAAGAAGTGAAGGAAAGAGAGGAGGGGGCGAGGACCAGGGCCAGCAGGACGGCTCAGTGGTTAAGGCAGTTGCTGCTGCCAAGCCTGACCAGCTGAGTTTCATCCCTGGGATTCATATGGAGAAGGAGAAAACCAGTTTCCCCAGGTTGGCCTCTGACCTACACACACACACACACACACACACACACACACACACACACACACACCAAACAAAATGTAAAAAAAATGTAAAGAGAAAGAAGCGGGGGTAGGATTGGAACCAGCAGAGCCCTGGCATCCACGGCCCTCCTCTCATTTCTGACTTCTTCCCTCCCACAGTCCACACTGGGCTTCGTGGCCCTGATGCTGGCCACGCTGCACACGCTCACCTACGGCTGGACCCGTGCCTTTGAAGAAAACCACTACAAGTTCTACCTGCCGCCTACGTTCACACTCACGCTGCTCCTGCCCTGTGTGGTCATCCTGGCCAAGGCCCTCTTCCTCCTGCCCTGCCTCAGCCGCAGACTCACCAGGATCCGCAGGGGCTGGGAGAAAGACCGGGCTGTCAAGTTCATGCTGACTGCTGACCACACACAGGGCGAGAAAACAAGCCATGTGTGAGGGCCTGGAAATGGAGACAGGCCCAGCTTGTGGGGGCCCGGAGCTGATGTCAGGACTCTTTTCTGGATGCTGCAAATGGACTGATGATATATCTGCATAGATGGCTGAGATCCAAATTCCTGGGATGCAGGTGAACGTCACGATATTCAGAATGACGCACCATGGGTGTGATATGTATTCACATAGATTTCATATATAATAGGATTTACTATTATTCTTACTTAACTGAAAGGGTAGGTCCCTATATTTCAACTTATGTATTTCAAAGCAAGTGCCACACATTAGACAGCAGATCCCATCCTTGTGACATTTGCAGAGGCAGACACACAGTTGCTGTAGGAAAGATTTGTATGTGTTGAGTTCTAGCCTTTAATCTCTGTCCTCTATATCCCCTGTTAGTGACATCCTAAAGTTGGTGCAGAGCTGGGCTAAGAGCTGCCCCAGGCACAGCCTACCCCACACCCCAGGGCTAAGAAGGAGGTCCTGAGTGTACAGAGGGGCTGGGTGCAGACCCTCCTGCTTCCCTGGGCATGTGTGGGAGGCTCACCAGGATGCCCTGGAATCCATGTTGGAGCTTTTGCAGGTCTGTCCTTTCTCCAGGGAAGGGTCTGAAGCTGCCCCATCTGATCTTAGCTGAGCTGAGGAGGTTGCCCCTCCTCCCTGAAAGTTCAGAGTCACCATGGAGCCTGCAAATTGCTCCTTCTGAGAAGGTGTGAAGTCACCTCCTCGCCAGAGCCATTAATGAAGCTGATCTTTAGACGTATAATTGTTCTCCCTCCATTAAGTTGGTGGTGACCCGCCTTCAAACCACTGTGCCTTCTCACCTTTTCTGTCATTAATCTGGGCATCTCCCTGGAAGGCGTGGAGTAGACTCCTGTCAGAGCAGCCCGAGGTGGGGGGTGCGGGGCAGCGGGCATCAGAGCTTGCAGAGAATAACCAGTCAAACCAGCCCCTTGGATGCACCCCTGGACTGGGGGACTGCCTTCGTAACATTGGTCCCTAAGGAGAATAACAGGGACCCCTTTTGGTTTAATCTGTTGCCTATGGGCAGATAGCCTCCTTTCTAAGTACCCAGAAACCTCTCTGTCTCCATGCTCCTCCTGGGGACACCACAGCCCCCCTGGCCCATGCTTTTGTCTTCCTCCGTCTCAGTTACAATCAACCACCAAAGTCTGTGAATATTATTTTTTGAATTCTTGAAGAGACCATATTCTCATTTTATTACAATAGTTATAGTCGCCCTTTGTCGACATTTCTCTTACTCTCTTCCTGTGCTTGGTTTATTAATTAGACCTAGTCATGGGTCTGTATGGGGGAAATGTAACTTCTGCGTGTGAGTGTGTGCCTGTGAGCGTGTGTGTTTCAGACTGTCTGCAGTCCCAGGAGTCCTGAATAGACCCTGTATTATGATTCAAAACATCCAGGGGCGGGGCGGGGTGGGGGGGGTGTCTTTTCTGCCAAAGCTACAAGCATCCAACTTTGCTGCCCCAAAGCACAGGGCATCTATCCTCCCAGCCCGGTGACATGCATCTGTGAGGGACAGCGACCCAACACAATCCCCCAAATCCTGCAGAGACAGTGATCTACCACTATTACACAACAGTGATCCCATGGGGCTCCCCTGGGCCAGGAAGCAGCATCTTTTGATGCAGGGAAGTAAGAAGGACCAGCCAATGTGCACCGGATACGATGTTCCTCTTCCCACCAGGGAGGCATCATAAGGGTCCTTAAGTAAAAAAGGGACAGAAGCCAGAGCAAGAACCTCTCATTAGGCCCATGGTGGGCAGAGGTGCCACACTGGAGAGTCTGGCTGCTTCTTGCAGGAATGGACAGCTGACAGCCCGTGCTAGGAACAGGGCCTAGGACCAGAACTGGCACGGGCCACAGCCCACAGAGAGGACCGCTGGAGGCAGAGCAGAGATTTCAACCTAACGGGCCAATGAACGCCCTGCTGACCAAAAGCAAGAAGAGCAGTGGGACCAGCAGAAGTGGACGCCACAAACGGTCCCACCTGGTAGGGGCCTACTGCCTTCTCCATCTCTCTCTGGAGGGAGATGGTTCCTCCTACCAAAGGTACTGCGGGGGAACAGTGGAACTTCTTTCCTCACCCCACTTCTGCCGCTTACAGATAGGAAGTGGGTCCTTGTCAAGCAGCTCACGGATGGCAGGTGGGCCGCGTACTCGGTCCGGATCTTGCATCTGTCTCTATTTCTCCCCATCTCCCCAGGCAGTCAGTAGCTTGCAGGAGGCTGGTCACTCCCTAAGCCTGGTAAAGCACTTTGGACCACTTTAGAGCCTCGGTCCAGTGCTCTAGAGACAAAATGCCCCAGCCTGAGGTGGACATGCAGTCTGTGCTGGGCGCAGCCACCCTGTTTCATCTTACAGAGCTGTATCGGAAGCGGTGACAGTACACGGCCACCTTCTGAACTTGAGACTCTCCTGGCAATCGGATCACGTGGGCATTGCTTCCTCTGTGGACGCAGCCAGTTCTGTGGCTGGAGCCTGTGCTCACTCGGCCACCCATTAGATGGAGGGGTTGCCAGGGTGAGCATTAGTCTGTGCCAGAGCTGGCCACTGAGGAATGGCAGGTGTACAGGGGAGTGACAGGCTCGTGATGGAGCAGGCAAGGTCCCTACGACAGTCTGGGTTATAAAAACCAACAGTGCCAGAGAAGTGAAAGCCGGGTTGTCCTCTAGCCCACACATAGACACAAAACTCTATTTCCTGGAAGCATATAAAGCATCAAATTTTTTTTTTTTGGCCCACAGATTTCTATAATTCCAGATAGTTTATCTCTGCTGAATTAGATCTCTGATCTGCTTCTGCTTGATACTCAAGTGGAAACTTGGATGCACTGGCCCTGTGAGCCCTCCCTGCCCTCCCATGAGGTGAATAATGAGACCCTGCTTACTGAGTGCTGATTTATTTCATTTATTGGACCAGAAACCAGGCTTGTTTCTTTAAGTTCTCACTGTCGGCAGACACTGGTTTTCAAAACTCTGTCTTAGTCATGGAAAATTTCCCTACCCATCAGGCTTCCGCTTCCAGAAGGATCTATCCTGCTACATCCAGTCTCTGGACTGAAAACATACTTTTTGTTTAATTTTTTATTACATTGTGTGTGTGTGTGTGTGTGTGTCTCGGGTCAGTTTTCTGCTCCCACCATGTAAAATCTGGGGACGGAACTCAGGTCTTGGAGCCCACGCCTGTACCCACTGAGCCGTCTCGCGGGCCTCGAAGACGTTCTTTTTCAAGGTTCCACTGAATTCTCAGGAAGCCAGTGAATTAGTGGGCTGAGAATAAACGGGACAGACAAATGGGGCAAACCAAGGCCTCCTGCCTGCTTCCTGGTGGAAAACGGCTTTTGCTCACCCTCGACAAGCCACAGGTGAGGCAGCACAGGAGCATCCCCAGAGAGCAGAACCGGTGTCTTCCAGACGTGACCGAACCACTGCACTCAGGAACCTGCAGCCGCCATGGCTGCCAGAACACGGAGGGGCCACTCGGTATTCAAGCGTGGCGTGGCGTGGCATTTCACCTCCACCTGAGGAGCTAGTGGCAGTTGGTGGCTCCGGAGTAGGGAGAGCCTATTTTAGGGGCGTGGCCACTCATAGATATCCACGTTCCAGAGGATGTCCCCAGCCCCGTGAATAGATGGGCAGCACAAATGGAACGCAGTGGGTTATTAAATCATCAACAAGACCACGAGGTTGGTAGCAAGTAAGAGAGGACTTGGGAGACATTGGGGGAATGAGCTGAAGGTAAATATGGTCAAAATACACTGTGTGCATGTATGAAATTCTCAAGAAATTGATTAAAATGTTGTATTTTTAAAAGAGATGGAGAGATGGCTTTTCGGTTAAGAGGACTTGCTGCCCTTCCAGAAGACTGGGACTCAGTTTCCAGCATCTATAGGATGGCACACAACCCTCTGTAACTTCGGTCCCAGGGGACCTAACACCCTCTTCTGGCCTCCGCAGGCACCGGGTCTGCATGTGGCGCACAGACAAACATTCAGGTGAAACATCCATACACGTAAAATAAAAGAATAGTTTTAAAAAAGCAATTAAAACTAAAGAGATACTAACGGCCCTGGGGCGGGAGATACGGCTCAGGCGAAAAGCGTTTGCTGCTCTTGCAGAGGACAGAAGTTCAGTTCCCAGCACCCACAGCGGGTGACTCACAAGCACCTGTAATTCCAGCTCTCGGGGATCTCATACCTGGCCTCACTAAGCACCTGAACACGTGGTTCATGCTTGGCTGTGCACGCGCACACGCACGCATGCACGCACGCACATACATTGCAAATAAAAATCTGTAAAAGGGGGAGAGGTTGGAGAGATGGCTCAGTGGTTAACAGCTCCTGCTGCTCTTGGATAGGATTTCTAGCACCCACATGGTGGCTCACAAACATCTGTATCCCCTATTCTAGGGGATTCAACAGGTGTGCATGTGGTGCACATTATATATATATACACACAGGCAAATATTCATATGCATAAAGTAAATAAACAAAAAAATCTTAAGAAAGAAAAGGAGACTCACATGCCACCAATTACTGGAGTTGCACAAGGAAGGAATTGTGGGAAGGCAAATTGTAAAGAGGGAAAAACCAAGGACTTCTAAAGCCAGTAAGACTGGGATCTAGCTGAAGCAGAAAACACAGCGTTCACCAGCAGGCAGAGAAACAAATTAAAACTAAGCCACACTCGGCCCCAGCAAGCACTCTGAGAAACAGCCGGGAAAGACAGAGACGGATCACCTACAGCTGTGGATAAGAGATTTCCCAGCATGTTGGTGGGAATCAGAAAATAGTGGCTACAGCTCCTAAAAGACAGAGAGGAAGTGATCCTCTGTAAGTATTTGCATGTTCATTTGCATATTTAACATTTCCATATTTATGTCCATATGTATGTATTATGCTTTGAGGAGGGTCTTATTATGTAGGCTTGGCCAGCCTGTGACTATGGAGACTAAGCTGGCCTTGAACTGCCTCTGCCTCCCAAGTGCTGGGATTGAAAGCACATGCACCACGCCTGGCTCAAGGCAGAGCTTTAAGCACACATGAAGCCTTCCTTGGGTCTGATCCCCAACACCACAGAAACCAGACGTGGTGGTGCAAACCTTCAACCCCAGTACTTGGGAGGAGAGTCAGAAGTTCCAGATCATCCTTGGCTATATAGCAAGTCCGAGACTAACCTGGGATGCAAACAGCTGGGTTAAAAAAAGGAGGAGGGCAAAATGAGTTATGTTTCCAGGAAACACAACTTAAGAGGTTCCCAACACATCTTCCCTAAAGATGTGCGCAGTGAGTAGGAGTGTTCCCAGAGGGGAGGCTGAGAAGGAAGAAGGAACAGAAAGCAAAGAAACCCCAAACAATGAGATGGCTTGGAGGGGGGGCCCGCGGGTAAAGGGGTGTGCCATCAAGTCTGAAGACCCAAGTTTGACGCCCAGGATCCACACGGCACATGGTAAAGAGAACCAACTCCCACAAGCGTGTCTTCTCTCTCTCTCTCTCTCTCTCTCTCTCTCTCTCTCTCTCTCTCTCTCTCTCTCACACACACACACACACACACACACATGTACACATATACACTAAACAAATGTAAGAAATACAAAAAACAAGACACATGAAAATAAAAGGTAGATGTTAGAAATACACCCCATAAAAAGATCATTGTGCAGTGAGATGAACTCACCAATGTCTAAGATCTCAAAATTCCTTGAGTCTCCAAGTCTGATGTGATCTTTCCAACACAAACCCACTGTCCTGAGGCTTTGCATAAACCGAGACACCAGTGTCTACTGAGGCAGAGCCAGAAGTTCAGCTCCAGGATTTCCTGCTCATAGGCAGTGAACAGGAGCCCAGCATCCATGAGAGCATGCCTTCCAGCACACGGATGCTCCCAGGACAGAAACCAGCCTCCCTGGGGCCCCTCCCACTGCAGCTGAGGACCTCAGGCGGCATCCTCTCTAGGTTTTATATCCAGGAGTCATTGAAATCACAGGGCTGTAGCACTGTAGGGCACCCTGTCCTGGAAGGAACAAAGCTCAGCTGTTCTGTACAGCTCTTCCTAAGTTAGGATGCTGCGTGTGTGGACGTTCTTTCCAAGAGCTGTAAGAAAGGGGCGGGGAGCTGGATCAGTGTATGAAAACGCTTGCGTGAGGACCTGAGTTTGAGTCCCAAGAACTCACATAAAAATCAGGGTATGTAGTGTCAACAGTCCCAGGGCTGCTACAGGGAGATGGGGAGCAAAG